TCCAGACGAAGGAGTGAGTGATCTGACCATGACAAGGGTTCCATGTCTATATCCCCTATAACAAGATCACTCAACCACTGGCCAGAGACAAAAATCAAGTCTAGAGTGTGTCCCCCCCGTGAGTGGGGCCATGAACTAACTGGGTCAGGTCCATGGCCGTCATGGAAGCCATGAACTCCTGAGCCATCCCAGACGTTTCACCAACGGATGGCAAGTTGAAATCACCCATGACCATAAGCCTGGGTGTATCAACTGCCACCGTGGCTATCACGTCGAGTAGCTCAGGCAGGGCTGCTGCCACGCAGCAGGGAGCCAGGTACGCAAGCAGCAAGCCCATCTGAACCCCATGGCCCCACTTCACAAGGAGAGACTCACATCCGGCAGTCTGAGGCACAGTGGTCTCCCTCGGACCAAGACCTTCTTTAATAATAACCGCCACCCCCCCGCCCCTCCCCTGGGCTCTCGGCTGATGGAATGCTCTGAAACCTGGTGGGCACATCTCGACCAGAGGGACTCCTCCCTCCGGTCCCAACCAGGTCTCCGTAATACCAGCCAGGTCCGCTCCCCCCTCCTGGATAAGATCGTGAATGAGGGGGGCCTTATTTACCACAGACCTAGCGTTGCACAGCATCAGCCGCAGGCCCAGGTCCTGAGTATCCAAGCCACCTAGTATCCGAGGGGAGCTTTGAGGGCCGGGGCGCGCAATTGCTCTCAAACAGCAAGTGCGCGTCCCCAACACATGATGTGGCCCCCTGCTCCCGCCATATCTGCCCCTCCCAACCACCGTGCTGATGGTATTTCCCTCATTGGGATAGCCCTCCGCCCCCTCCCCATTCCCTCGTCCAGTGTCCTCCAAACCGTTACCCGTGCCGGGCTCGGCTCTGACCTTGGTGGATTACCCCCACCATCCCCTTTGGTCGTCCTCCCGGTTCCCCTTAAAAAATTATTAAAAACCCTAATTAAAAAACCCCTTAATCCTCGCTTTGAAACATGCCACCTCTCAGGGCTCCAAAACCCGTCCTTAAGGTAGGCCTTTGATAACATGGAAGGCCATCGCCGCGAGAGGGGGGCATCTCGCAGCGCAAGCAGGTCTGCTGAGGTATAAGCCATACATAGATGAGAGGTAGAAAGTCTGGTCAGGAGTTTGATGAATAGTCTAAGGTATTGGAGCAAGATGGACCTCAGAGCCGGTGGGCTGGACTCCACTGCCCTCTCACTGCAGTGGGAGGAGTCCCGTGTCAGTTCATCAAAATTGGAGGTAAGGATCCAAGCCACCCTCTCACGGTGGCTAGCCCAGATGGAAAGGGCTTGGGAAAGTTAGATGGTCTATTCCTCCGTTGGTGAAAGGCAACAGTAATGTGGATTATAAAACTTTTGTAACAATAATAGCTGAAAGGGCCAAAAATTTTTTAAAGGAAATTATTAATTTGGATCAGAATGGATTTTTGCCAAACAGATATATAAGAAATAATATAAGGATGATCATGGATACATTAGAATATTATGAGTCCCACTCGGATAAGCAGCTGGCATTAAGTAGACACTCAGAAGGTGTTTGACAATCTGAACTGGAACTTACTTTCTTTTTTCTTTTTTTAAATAATTTTTATTAAACAGTTTGTCTTTAAAAACAACACAAAAAACAATCACACATATATAAAAACAAAACATGTCAAAACATAACGTATTAAGCATTACATAACATTAATGGTAATTTTACAGCAACTTTCTTATTAACCAATTGGAAATTATGAATTTTGGGGACAAATTTACAGACTTAATTAGAATGATCTATTCGAAACAATCAGCCAGAATAATAATGAATGGAGAAATGACAGAGAAGATTAATATAACTAAAGGGATAAGACAGGGATGCTCCCTATCACCTCTATTATTTATATTATCTTTGGAAATATTGTTAATACAAATTAGGAAAAAACCAAATAATAAGGGGTTTGAAAGTCAAACAGGAGGAATACAAGGTCTAAGCATTCGCAGATGATCTAGTTTTTGTCATGGAAGATCCTTTGGAGACGGGAACCATCTTGATTAATGAAGTTGAAGAATTTGGTGAAGTAGGAGGGCTTAAAATAAATAAGAAAAAAACTAAAATGGTAACAAAGAATTGTACAAAAAGACAACAGGAAGAATTGGAAAGGAAATTGAGGATTCAAACTGCTAAAAAGGTGAAATATTTAGGAATTTCGCTTACGGCGAAATGTTCCACAATAAAAGAAGACAATTATGATTTTTATTTTATTTTTTATTTTATTTTGAATTTGTATACCACCCTTCTCCCTGAGGACTCAGGGCGGTGAACAGCCAAGTAAAAACATCAAATACAAATATTAAAATACAGTTAAAAGATATATATAAATTTGGCCCCATTAATTAAAAACGATAAACAAAACAATTAAAAACACTTAAAAAAAATTAGGCCAGCCCGGCTTGCTGGAAAAAGAAGGTTTTAAGTGCACGGCGGAAGTCACTGAGGTCATGGATTCTCCTTATCTCTGGGGGCAACTGATTCCAGAGGGTAGGTGCCTCCACAGAGAAGGCCCTCCCCCTGGGGGTCACCAGCCTGCACTGTTTGGCTGATGGCACCCCGAGGAGGCCCTCTCTGTGGGAGCGCACGGGTCGATGGGAGGTCGTCGGTGGCAGCAGGCGGTCTCGGAGATAGCTAGGCCCTATGCCATGGAGCGCTTTAAAGGTGATAACCAACACCTTGAAGCGCACCCGGAAGACCACCGGGAGCCAGTGCAGCTCACGCAGGAGCGGTGTTACATGGGAGCGCCATGCTGCTCCCGTCACTACCCGCGCTGCTGCGTTCTGGACCAGTTGGAGCCTCCGGGTGCTCTTCAAGGGGAGCCCCATGTAGAGAGCATTGCAGTAGTCAAGGCGAGAGGTGACGAGGGCATGAGTGACTGTGCACAGGGAATCCCGATCAAGAAAGGGCCGCAACTGGCGAATCAGGCGAACCTGACAAAAGGTCCCCCTGGTTACAGCCGTCAGATGTTCCTCCAAGGACAGCTGCGTATCCAGGAGGACTCCCAGATTGCGAGCCCTCTCTGTAGGGGCCAAAGACTCGCCCCCAATAGTCAGTGATGGAGTCAACTGACTATATCGGGATGCCGGAACCACAGCCACTCAGTCTTGGAAGGGTTGAGCTTGAGCCTGTTCCTCCCCATCCAGATCCGTACAGCCTCCAGGCACTGGGACATCACTTCAAGGGCATCGTTGGGGTGGCCTGGGGTGGAGTTGTACATGATAAATTAATACAACAAATTCAAGAAGACTTAGATATTTGGGCCAAATCACAGTTATCTTTAATAGGTAGAATAGCCGTGATAAAGATGAATATATTACCTAAATTGTTATATATTTTTCAATCGATACCAATTAGACTAGGGAAACCGTTTTTTGAATATCTAAATAGAATGATAGGTAAATTCATTTTGTTGGGGGAAAAAGCCCAAATAAAATGTAAACTTCTGCAGGACTCCAGAACCAAAGGAGGATTCGGCCTACCCGATTGGGAATTATATTATCAGGCAGCTGCAATAACTTGGTTAAAAGATTGGATCCAATTAAGAAATAAGAGAATATTAATATTGGAAGGCCATGACCTCCAATTGGGATGGTATGCATTCCTTTGGGAAGGGAAAATTAAGACACATACATACTTCCAGAGACATCTAGTGCAAAATGCTTTGATCTATATTTGGAATATTATAAAGAAAAATCATTATATGAAAGTTCCAGTGTGGATATCAATGATGGAGGCCATAATCTATCCCAATGTATTGGATTTAAATAAAATAATAAGATATTTGGACCTATTAGAAGAAATTGGAAATTTAAAGTCAGAACAGGATCTAATAAAACAAGGAATAAAAATTGATTGGTGGCCATACTTACAGATTAAAACAAAATATAAAAAAGATAAGGAACAATTTGGCATATACAGAGAACAATTGGAACTTGATAGGGTCCGGGGGAAAATGATCACAAAAATATATAATTTTTTGTTGAAATTTAAAATGGAAGAGGAAACCTTGAAAGAAACAATGATTAGTTGGGCAAAAATTTTTGGACATAATATTCATTTGGATCAATGAGATAGATTATGGGAGAGAAATTACAAACTAACAATGTCAGCTGCTTATAAAGAAAATCTTTACAAAACGTTCTACTGATGGCATTTGCCACCAGCGAGATTGGCCAGGATGTTCTTGAGTGGGTCTCCAAATTGTTGGGGGTGTGGACACAAACAAGGGACATTCTACCACATGTGGTGGACCTGTCCTAAGATTAGGAAATTTTGGGGCAAGATTAAAAAATGGCTGGATGAAATAACAGGGCGGAAGATAGAAAGAAAGCCGGAACTGTTTCTCCTGGGTAGTCTGGAAGGGGAAATGTGGAAAAGTATACAATATATCATATTACACATACTAACGGCAAGTAGAATTGTGGTAGCACAAAATTAGAAACAACCAGACACCCCTCCAGATCAAATCATAATTAAAAAAATATACGAATGTGCAGAGATGGACAGATTATCTATGGAAATGAAGGAGAGGGAGGACACCGAGTACTATTTAATATGGAATAAATGGTATTCCTGGCTGGAGAGTAAACATAAAATTTAAGGGTTGTTTTTGTTATGAGATTGAATTGTAAATAGAAATCAAGATAATTTAAATAAAGATGTAAATTTAAGATAGAGATATTTAGAAGTAGAATTTGTGTAAAGAGGCTAAATAGATTACAGATACCGATGCAGAAAAGTTGTTATTAGTATTGAAATTTTGATATGTTTGTTTTTGGTTGTTTATATTTGTGTGTGTGTGTGTGTGTGTGTTTTTTTTTTCTTGCTTTTTGTGTATTATGTTTCTTTTTGTACTGTGTATTTTAATCTTTGGAAATTTAATAAATATTTTTTTTTTTAAAAAAAAGAAGATCAGGAAGGGGGTTGAGATGAAGGTTCTTTTTTTTAACAGGATCTGTATGCACTCGATCTTGAGCAATATCGCTACTCTGGAGTAAACCTGACCGGCTTCCGCATCTTGAACGTGGATAATCCTCATGTGTCTGCCATAATTGATAAGTGGTCCATGGAGAGGTTGCAGACGGCCCCCAAACCTGAACCTGGATTGATTGCAGGGGTCATGATGGTACGACAATCACTTTGAATTCCTGATGCACTTTGAATTTCCTGCTGGTGTGTAATCAGAAAAAGGTTTGCAGCTCATTTGGCTTGTGCCAGGCTGTGCCAAAAGTTTTTAGCACCCTCTGCTTTTGTCAGAAGAGGAGTCTAACAACTTGCATCTTCAGGCTGAACTACACATTACATCTGAATGGGTAAAATAACTTCCTGCCCCCTTCTTCCAGAGGACAAGAATCCTAGGAGAAGGAACTCTTTGAAGCAAGGAGGCTGCAGCAGAAGGGAGTTTTTCTCCTAATATTATTCTGGATTCAGGATTGATTCCTGGAGGCCTGGGTGCATGGCAAGTTGGGCAATGCCAGGCTTTTAGGGTAGAAGCAGTGGCTCCTTACAGTGGGCTTAGCTATAGAATCAAAAGAACATTTGGGGCCAGGGAGGATTGTTTTTAGAGTGGCTGCATGTGGTCAAAACAATTACTGTCCACCTTTATTTTAGACAGACGCTGCCCTGTTATATGATGCTGTCCACATAGTCTCTGTGTGTTACCAACGGGCCCCTCAGATGACGGTCAACTCTCTTCAGTGCCATCGACACAAAGCCTGGCGATTTGGTGGGCGCTTTATGAATTTTATCAAAGAGGTAAGAAGAGCCCTAGACTCAGATAGATATTGCTCAGGAGGCAGTCACAGAGCGAGGGGCTGGGGCTTGACTGTTGGAAACCCAGGCATGGACGGATTTATAGGCTGTAACACTTCATGTCGTCAGGACAATTTTTAAATGAAAGGAATGCTCTGGTGGAGCTACGCCTTGCCTGGTTTGGCTAGCCAGCTAGGTATTTATCCTGACATTTCTCAAGCAAGCAAGACTGAATCATCTCAATTGTAGACGAAGCCCACTAATTCACTTGTCACCCCTCCACCAGATGCATAATTTCAAAAGGTTCCTGCCAGCTCAAGTAGAAGTAATTGCCATGAGAGCAGCAGATACGCTCAAGTACTGTTCAGATTGTTGAGGAGGTCATGCAATGACCTCACAATTATGTGCATGAAAAATTGAAGTGCTTCCTGCAGACATGCACACAAAGACAGAAACAGGGAGTCAGTCTGTTCATACCTTTGTCCTTGGATTAAGACCCAGCTTCTTTTGGATGGGCTGGTCTACACAGATTCCTTTCCTGAAAATTTTCTTTTTCTCGAAATGCTATGCTTGGCTCATGTCCCTTTTGTTGGAACACCAGATGACATTGCTGCCAAATCTCTATAACCCAGGGCTCTCTTGAGGCTTTCTTGTGGTTTCTCAGGCTTGATGGATCATTGCCGAATGGTGATAAAATGCATACAAGATCAGGCTTTAAGTGGCTGCTGGTTGCAATGGCAATTGGAATGAAGTGATTCTGGTATGTAAAACTATGCACAATGTGGAGAGAGAGACTACACTTATGTCACTGGCCAGCCAGCGGAGTTAAATGGCTCTGATTGGGAAGGAAATATTTTTGTCCACAAGCTGTGGCGCTTCTATCTCAGGGTGGAGAGTTGTCCAGCCATTTGAAAAGCTTTAAAAATAATTCAGCCGTATCATGGAGAAAGATGGCTATGCAATTACTTGTAATGGAGGCTGTACCTATTACTTTCAGGGTCAGAAGAAGGAGGCTACTCAAAACCGCTTGTCAAAGAGCAGGAGGAGACACAGCTACCGACTTCCTTGCTATCTGGTTAAGAGTGAAGCCTTCAGAATGACCTGCTGCAGGGCAGTTCTGACAGCTAGTCATGGAATGAGCCAAATAATAGGAGGCAGCTGATAATTAGAGTCTTCTTTGCTGCTTCCATCATAAATTGAGAGGGACATTAGCAAAATTCAGGCTGATCAAGGTGCAGTTCACAATCTACCCAGCAGTAAGCAAGAACAGAACTTGGACTAAAAGCCAGAAAGAAAATTCAGAGGCCTGAATGCTTTTCTCACTTTCTTCCCAATTCCCAGGCTATCTAGATTCAAGGACTACTTTGGATGCTCTTAAAACTTGTGTTTCGTTTGGGATCAATCTGACCCCAGGGTCTCCTGCTTCCTTGTGTTTTAGCTAGTTGCAAATTTGCAAAACCTGCTGCTGGAAGCAACACCATAAAACAGCCACTGCAGCAGCCCTCTTGGGAGCAGCTCTGAACAGAAGGCCTTTTTGAAGTTGGCCATCCCCTCCATGTCACAACAGATGCTTTTGACAAGAAGGGACAGTTGAGATGAACTAAAGGAGGCAGGCCAGGTCCTGTAATCAAAGCTGGAACCAGGCAAGGCTTGCAAGTTAATTTGCTCTGCGTGCTTCAGACACCATTGAGATCTAGACTCAGATCTGGCCAACTTATTTTAATTTATCCATTAAATAAAATGGAAGAGAAAGGAGGATGAGTGGAAAACCAGAACTTTAGTCTATCTCTTCTCTTTCTCCTTTGTTTGGTCTGAGAGGAGAGGAGAAAGTCATAATAAGCAGTGGTGGGCTGGAACTGGTTTAACAACCGGTTCTGTGAGCATATGCACCTAACGTGCTTGCACGCAGCGTTCAAAATACAGCAATTTGAAGCTTAGCTGCTTACCTTCTAAGGCAGCCCCGATAAGTAGAACAGCGGAGGCGCAGAAATCAACTGTGCTGTGCAAATCAGCTAAGCCAGAAAGAAGGAAATATAGGACAGGATAGGATGGGGGCAGGTGGGTGGGGCCAGCTGATTGTTGGGACTACTGGTTCACCTGAACCAGTCCGAACCGGCAGCAGCCCACCACTGATAATAAGTACCACTTGTAGGAGGGTAGTCTATCACAGCCAAAAATTGGGTGGAGCGAGGTAGTACCTTTTCAAATAACAGATTTGATTAAAAGGCCTTGATTGCTGTTCAGTTGCTAAGTCATATGAAACTGTTCGCAACCAGTGGTGGGATTCTGCCGGTTCTAGGGGGTTCGGCCGAACCCTTTGTTAAATTGCTGGCTCACCCCGCCCCTTGCCCCGCCCCTCTGCACCACTATTTATTGCCAATAAATAGTGGTGGGCGAGGGGCAGGCGAGCCAGCAATTTAACAAACGGTTCGGTGTTTTTTTGTAATTTTATTGGCCTGCGGAGCTTCAGCATAGGCTAATTAGCCCCTTGATTCTATTGGCCTCCCGACTCTCAGCTGATTTGCTCTCAGCTGTTTTGCTCAGGGCTCTACTGCTTGCTTGCAAAGAGTGCAGATTTCCCCCCCCTATCTATGCTGAAAAACGAAACTGAAAGTAAAAGCCTGCTTTACTGTTGCTGCAACGTTGGAAAATTAGGCAGGCAGATTTCTTTTCTTTTTCCTCACCAAAAAAGGTAGGTGCAAACTACCTTTAGTGGAAAGGTAGTTTTCCCTAAAGAGGTAGTTCCTCTTTAGGGAAAAAGAGGAGAGTTCAAGATTTTAAAACACAAAAGAAAAAAAGCTCTATTTAAATAGGGAATTGTAATAATTGAGATACTATTAATTGTATATTGTGTTGAAAGCAGAAATGATTAAATTGTGGTTTGGAGGAATATATGGGGGAAATTAGTTGGTTTATTATTATTGGTAAATATAATTAATTAATTTGTAAGAAATTGGATTGCATGGAAATAATTGGAATATTCATGTTCATATTGATTAATATACAAAAAAGATAGTTATATAACTAATTGATTTATATTAAAATGTTTATATTAAAATTTAAATTTATATTAAAATTAAAATTTATATTAAACAACTGTAATATTACATAATTAACCAATGTGAGGATGGATATAAAAATAGATGACAATGAGAAGGGGTATAATATAGAATAGAAGGGAAAAATTGAATTTGATTAAGATTAGAGATGAGGATGAAGGGTAATATTGTTTTTTTTTAAAAAAAATAGATAAGGAATAAATATGGCAAAAAGGAAATATAGAAATTGTAAATTTAATTGAAATGACTAAACACTGTTTAAATTTGTGAACTGGCCAAATATTCTGTTCAAAGAAAATACATTGTATGTTTGTATGTGTGTTTCTAATTACTGCTATTTATTCATATTTATTCTCTTTTATTCTTTAAAGTTTAACAATTCATTCTTTATCTTAATATCTTTATATTTGTTTGGGGTTGCCTTTCTTCCATTTCATCTTTTTTACTGTACAGCAATCTTTCTCCTCAAAACTACCACCTCTCTCTTTTCTTTCCTTCTTACTTTCTCTTCCCCCCCTCTTCTTCTCCTCCTCTCTTCCTCCCTCTCTTACCCTCACTCTTACTCTAATTTCCCTTCCCTTCCTCCCTTCTCTTCCTTCCCTGTCTCTCCTTCTTTCTTCCATCTCTCTTCTCCTTCCTTCATCCCTCTCTATTGCTGTATCCTTTTGTGCATATGGATTACTCAGAGGGCTGAAAAAGTTATTTTTGACCGGTCATCGCACTTTTGACCAGTCCTCGCACTTACGACTGTACTCACATTTTATGTTTTGCGCCCTATCTTGTCACTGTGGTGAAGACAAGTAGTGGTGAAATGACTGACACAGTTGTTAAGAATGCCGCAACGGGCATAAATGTGAGGAAGTTCATAAGTGCGAGGACCGGTCAAAAATGTGAGGACCAGTCAGAAATGACTTTTTTCAGCCCTCTGAATAGTCCCTATGTGCATATGGACTAGTCAGAAGGCTGAAAAAGTTATTTTTGACCGATCCTCGCACTTTTAACCAGTCCTTGAACTTACGACTGTCCTCACATTTTACGTTTTACGCCCTATCTTGTCACCATGGTGAAGAGAAGTAGTGGTGAAATGACTGACACGGTTGTTAAGAATGCCGCAATGGGCATAAATGTGAGGATGGTCATAAGTGTGAGGACCAGTCAGAAATGACTTTTTTCAGCCCTCTGAGTAGTCCCTATGCACATAGCCATGCCCACCCGGTCACATGACCACCAAGCCACACACCCCAACTAAGCCACGCCCACAGAACCGGTTGTTAAAAATATTGAATCCCTCCACTGTCCGCAACCCCATAGACCACAGCATGCCAGCCCCCTGCCCCCTGCCCATCCTCCACCATCTCCCAGACTTTGCCCAAATTCATGCCCAGTATTTATATATTCATGTCAGAAGCACCACAATTAAAATAAGGCATACTATATGACATAAAATTGAAAATGTAAAGTACAAGATTAAAATATGTACAAAATAAACAGATCTTGCCCAGAAACTAGCAACATTGTGTTCTGCCATGCCCACTGATGCCATGTAAACCATCTAAACCATCTCACCCTCTGCCTTCTCCTTTTGCCTTCTGTCTTTTCCAACATCAGGGACTTTTCTAAGGGTCCCCTCTTCTCTTTTGGTGGCCAAAGTATTTGAACTTCGGCTTCCAAAATGGCCAAAGGACAGTCAGATTTGATTTTCTTCAGGATTGACTGATTGGGTCTTCTTGCAGTCCAGGGGACTCTCTAGAGCAGGTGTCAGCAACCCGTGGCTCCGGAGCCGTATGTGGCTCTTTTGTCCCCCTGCTGTGGCTCCCTGTTGGCTGAACCCACCACTGGCTGGCCCCACCCCTTGCCCTCCCCTCCCAGTCACTCCTCGCCTGGCCTGAGAAGGTAAGGGTGACAGTGAGGGTTGGAGACTCGCTCCAGATTCCAGAGCTGGAGCAAAGCACCCCTGTACTTGCCTCCTCTTGCAGGCGCTTCTTCCAGCACCTTGTTGGTGCTGTGCGCACCTCGGTTGCTTGGGGAGATGCGTGATTTGCTCTCTGCCCTGAGACACTGGCCCACCCTGGCTGCTCTCACTGCCGCTGCTCTCACCGCTGCTGTTCTCACCACCTCCATGGCCTGCCCACTATTCTGTGCAGCACCTTGCACAGCACAATTAAATTTAGCACGCTTCACAATGGGGGTCACAGCGTCCCCTCCTCCTCCTGGTGCCCATTACGACATGAAGCATCGGCTGCAGCCGGGGCAAGCCAGTGTCTTGGGGCAGAGAGCAAGTCATGTGTTTTCCTGAGCAACTGAGGTGCGCACAGCACCAAGGGCTGGAAGAAGCACTCATAAGAAGAGGCAAGTACAGGGATGCTTCACTTCTGCTCTGGAATCTGGAGCGAGTCTCCATTTCCTGCTGTCACCCTTATGTACATAATGGTACGTTTATCATATGGTAAAAAGCACCCAAAGAAGAAGAAAGAACAACATCAGCAAAGGAAAAAACCCACCAATCCTCACCTTTTTTTGGAAATAGTTCAAGAGGGAACACACGAGAGAGAGAGAGAGGGAGAGAGGGAGGGAGAGAGAGAGAGAGAGAGAGAGAGAGAGAGGGAGAGAGGGAGGGAGGGAGGGAGGGAGGGAGGGAGAGAGAGAGAGAGAGAGAGAGAGAGAGGGAGAGGGAGAGAGAGAATTGTTTCCCACAGAAATGAAAACACCGGGAGCCACAAAACATGGGTAGGCGTCACTGGGGAGGTGTCATGTGACTAGGTGGGAGTGAGTGACGTCGAGTTGGCCAACGCCTACCCAGCTTTTGTGGCTCCTGGTGTTTTCTTTTCTGTGGGAAATGGTCCAAATGGTTCTTTGAGTGTGTCAGGTTGCAGATCCCTGCTCTAGAGTCTTCTCCATCACTATAAATTTTCAAATAACAGATTTAAATAAAAGGTATACACTTTCATAAGCTGTAGCTGCCTGTCACAAAGGCTTATGCCTTTGAAAAAATATGTTATTTGAAAACGTCCTCCTGACTTAAATTTCTGCATCCAAGGAGTGCCTACGTTAAGGAAGAATGCAGATTTTTCTTTCATGTCAGATCATCAACTAATGCTCTTGTAGATCACAGGGCGACAGAGTTCAGTCACCTGGTAAAAATCAATGTTCCCCTGGGGAGCAGAGGAGAGGGGCAAATTGTTCCCCCACTGAAGGTTTAGAGGGGGTTCTTTAATGCCTTAACAACCCAATGCTCCCCCTCAATCACCCAAGGTGGGCTCTCTTGTCTTAGGATGTCATTCCAGTTTCTGGAATAATGGTCATTCTTAACTCTTCCACTACATCTTCACATTATATAAAATCTATCATGAGAACTGGACAAGTTACCTAAGTTGCAGGTAAGACTGCTGTGTTGTGTGGCCTCTCTTTTGATCCCTTGCCAGCTTCCTCAGCAGCTTCTTTTTTGCAGCTTCCAGCTCTCAGGTAATGCTTAGCTCTGGGTATCCACTATCCCAGCTGAAATCCTCTACTCACTCCAACCCAGTCCAGTCTTCCAGCCAGAAAGAGCAGAACTTTGCAATTGTCTGAGAAAGATTGACAGCTTGGAAGAGGCAATGCATCAGCCTCTTCCAAGGGTGTCAGCCCAGATCCAGCAGACCAAAGAGAGGAGGACTAAAAAGGTTCTTCTGAACTTGGAGGGCCAGAGGATTCCCCGTAGTGCACAAGAGGAGCAAGGAAGGGAAGGGAAACCCTTATAGGACTCAGGCCCAGTTATGCTATGGTAATAGTGAAGTGTCTCTGTCATCTCCCTCTTTCTCATCAGCCCCTTAGGGGCCACAGCCAAGAAGTTTGTCTTGGGCCACTGGAGATGAACCTGCCCCTAGGGCAGAGATTTCTCATGTAATTTTTCATGGCTCATGTTGGACATCTTCACACCCATGGCCAGGAACATACAGAAGCATTTGACCAGCTTGGTCTTTAATGGATGGAGCAGCAGATACCACACCAAGGCTCAAAATAGTTTTTAGGTTGAGTGAGCCAGGACTGGTTGCACTAAATCTCTAGCCTCACTGCCAGTACAAAGCTACCCTCCACCTCCCCAATCCTGGCACTCTGCCTGCAGGATGGACCCAATGAAATTGCAGGATGAAGCCAGGGTGATCTTGGAGATAACATTATGGAGGGAGAAGGGGAGAAGAAGCACTGGCCATGACACCCCCAGTCCTTAATGGATCATCTGTATAACTCCAGAATGATTGCTGGTTTTGGAAGGAACATCTAGAAAAGTGGCCTGGGATGGCTTAGAAAGGTCTCCTTCAGGGGTGAAATGCTCCCGGTTTGGACCGGATCGCCTGATCTGGTAGCAATGGTGGCAGCCGAAGAGGCTGTAGAAAAAAAATGCCTATAAAAGCTTCTGGCGATCCCAGCAGAGTTGCCTGATTGTCAGAAGCTTCTAAAAGCATTTTTTTCTGCAACCTCTTCAGCCGAAGAGGCTGTAGGAAAAAAAATGCCTATAAAAGCCTCTGGCAATCCCAGCTTCTAAAAGCATTTTTTTCTACAACCTCTTCAGCCGAAGAGGCTGTAGAAAAAAAAATGCCTATAAAAGCCTCTGGCGATCCCAGCTGAGTTGCCTGATAGTCAGAAGCATCTAAAAGTATTTTTTTCTGCAACCTGTTCAGCCAAAGAGGTTGTAGGGGAAAAAATGCCTTTAAAAGCCTCTGGCGATCCCAGCTGACTTGCCTGATCGTCAGAGTTTCTAAAAGCATTTTTTTCTGCAACCTCTTCAGCCAAAGAGGCTGTAGAAAAAAAAATGCCTTTAAAAGCCTCTGGCGATCCCAGCTGACTTGCCTGATCGTCAGAAGCTTCTAAAAGCATTTTTTTCTGCAACCTCCTCAGCCGAAGAGGTTGTAGAGAAAAAAAAAATGCCTTTAAAAGCCTCTGGCGATCCCAGCTGACTTGCCTGACCATCAGAAGCTTCTAAAAGCATTTTTTTCTGCAACCTCTTAAGGTTGTAGAAAAATGCTTTTAAAAGTAAAAAAAAAAAGTTGACCATGCCCACCCAGTCACATTACCCCCCACCACCATCAAGCCATGCCCATAGAACCAGTAGTAACAAATTTTAGATTTCACCCCTGGTCTCCTTGCTTTCCCTCTAGGCTGTCTCACCCAAAGTTCCAAAGAGTTTTCCCCCTTCAGGGCTCAGAGCTCAGCAATACTTCATCATTCTCTCCAGTGAACTGGAAGCGGTGGGCATCGACGATTTTTAAGGGGCAGTGGGGGTGGTGTGGATTTCTCCAGTTTTGCGGAACAGGAAGCAGTGATGGGTTTAGCAAAGCTAAAAGAGGGAACTCACTTCTGACTTATGCGCTTGGTGCAAAGTTCCTTTATGCCACATGTTCATTGCCCCTCCTTTCCTGGTGCCACCCCTACTCACTGTTCCTTCCTCTCTGTCTTTCAGGCACAGTGGGAGGGCTTAACGGGACGAATTGCCTTCAACAAAACCAGCGGGCTCAGAACTGACTTTGACCTGGACATCATCAGCCTCAAGGAAGATGGGCTGGAAAAGGTCAGTGGCTTCTTTGCTTGCTCTTCTCTTTGCGCATCTCAGGAAAGTTCTTGGGAGCTGCCAGAACCCCCCTCTTGAGCAGCTTCAAAGGGAGGAGGATGTGCTAGAGTCCCAACAGAAACAAATACCCCCCACTCAAGATGGTGGGCTCTACTTTGTTGTGGGTTCCTTGCATGAGTGGGGGCTGGGCCCAACTTGGGTTCGGACGCTTCATCTTTCCTTAAAGCTTTTTGAACCAATGACATTTTTTCAGCTTGTCCAGCTCCATAGTTCATACTAGCCTAAAAGATATAGAAAATATTATAGAATCCTAGGGCTGGAAGGGACTTTGGAGGTCTTCTAGTCCAACCCCCTGCTCAAGGCAGGAGACACTTTACCATTGCATTCAAATGGTTGTTCAACGTTTTCTTGCAACTCAGGCCTTGAATCAGCAGTGAATGGTTTGGCTAGATTGGTTGGAAGACTCTTGCATGTTTCTTTCTTTCTCTTTCTTTCCGTCTCTCTCTTTCTCTCCCTTCCTCCCTCCCTCTCTCTCTCACACACACACATACACCAGTTAGTTCATACACACACACACACACACACACACACACACCATCTGGCAATCCAGCCTAGGTCATTCAGGGGAATGTGGCCCTCCCCTGGCCTTTCCAGGTTTCATGTGGCCACACCAACCAGCAGTTGTGGATGACCCATTGGTCCTGGAGGCCCATGATTTCCCTTGTGTCCATTGGGGATCCTGTAGTGGTGGCCAAGGTAACTCTGTGAAGGAAAAAAATCTCCCTTGTGACATTTGGTGCAGGGTCACTTTTCTGCATCTCCTTTACCACAAACAGTTTCTGAGGGCAGTAACCTGAAGCTGAAAGACTCCTCCCATCAAGAAACAAACATCATTTGTTCGTTTTCCTTGTTTCCTGGTTGTTTGTGTCTCCTGCAGGCTCTCACCCTCCTCCTGAGTGTGTGTTTAGAGCTTTTTCTGAGCTCAAGAGAGGCTTTAAAGTGGCTGCGTCAAATCTCAGCAGAGTGGGGCATGACGGCCTTGTCAGGATGTAATGTGAATTAATGGCATCCCAAATGGAATCAAATCCCTGTTGTACTTGAGCCTTCTGTTCAGTATTTTACATTTGCTAAGGTTTTGGGTTTAGCACTTTCTTGCCTTCTGCAACTTGCAGATTGGTAATGTCGTATTCTGTGCTCTTGAGCTACAACAGTTAGAGGAATCATGTTAGGGATTTGCAAAACAACAATGAGTGCAATCAGCTTTCCGGCTCCTGCAGAGATGGCCTCGTCTTGCTGAAGTCATCGTCACTGAGGGGAGTGGGAATCTTGGTGTTTTGCTTCCCATCAGACCCACTAGTCTTCACTCCCATTGCTTATTGTCAGATAAAGGGGAGGGGGTAGTTCTCAGATAAGCAGCAAATCGAAAAGTGTTTTCAGTAAACTCTTTCATTGTATTGCTGTTCATTTCTTTTGTGTGGGTTACTGTATAAACAGGTGAGTTGTATAGTATTCTAAAATAATATTTTAAAAAGAAGTTTTTGAATATTCTGTATTTTGACTGGGACTGGATCCTTCTGTCCAACTGAGAAAATGGGGAAGAAATCTTTATGTTCTGCTTTCTTATTTCTAAGCTTTATGGACATCGACAATGTATCTCCTAACATTTTAGAAAGATCATTTGAAGTCATTATGCACACATTCCACATTTTCTGCAGAACACAACTTGTTTCAAGGCTGAACTGGAGTCTTCGGATGACACCGGCCTGCTGGCCCCCAGATGATTTCACCATTCCAATCTGTGTGTGTGTGTGGGGGGGGGAACCAAAGATAAAATGTTGCCACAACTCATGAGTCCAATATTTACATCTGACACAATTACCAAAGGCTAGGGTTGGTTGTGATGTTGCAACACATCTTTCTTTCTTTTTCCCTCCAACATGCTGATTTTCAGCAGATACCTGTGGATCTAAAGTTTCTCTAGTTGAGGCTGGGGGGTAGGGGTGTCATTTCATTGCATGTTCAAGCAAAACCACCCAGCAAAGGAGCTTTGTGACACAGCACAGCCCCCTCCCACTGAAGATAAAACCAAGCAGTCCCCTTGCTTTGCTCATCTGTGAGGCAGGGACAGCTCCCAGACAGAAGTATGCATTTCCAGTTTTTGCAAGGAAGCAGCCACCAAGTAAGTCAAACCAACCTGAACAGATCAAAGGGCTGTTCAGAAACCCCAGGATCCTCCCACTGTTCAGAATGAGGCAATTGACTGTACTCCGATTGCAAAAGCCCTGGTGACAGCTGAATGCAACAACTCTCTCCCTCCCTCGTAAGGCCATGGTCAACCTTTGCATAGCACTAAAGGTTGCTGGGAGAGCAAAGTGTTGCCCACCACAACCTCCAGAGAACTGGGACTTAATCCAGTGGCTCAAGCTACCAGCCCACAGACCTAAAAGCCTACAACTAAAAGTCTAAAGCAGAAAGTCTATAAGAAATATATTTGTACCTGCACAAATCCTGAAGCATAAGATAGTCATAGCTAGTGATGTAGCGACCAGCAAGGTATGTTCTATATTTGTATTCCTGCCCATGGAGGATTCAAATTACACCTGCAACAAGGGCAAACTGATCTGATTCCTAGAGGAGAAAATGGAAGGCATGTCTAGCCACTCTGAGTCTCATCTGTGAAAAAGAGGAATTCCTTGGAAAGTCAGAAGTCTGCATTCAAACTAAATGCAGCAAGGAAGAAACAAATACAGGAAAAAAATGAAGCCCATGGGGCAGACCAATGGCAGCATGTCACTGAAAGGACAAAAATAAAAGGAGAGGGTCCCTGCCAGTGAAGTTGAACAATCATTTGCATAACCTCCCTCTGTAAGAAAACACACCAGACATCTGGAGTTTCAGATATTCCCATGAGGAAGAAAAGTAGTTCAGACTGTCACAAAGAGGAGTCTGCTGAGATCCCCAAAGAGACATAAGTGGGTGATTGGTGACTCACTTCTCAGCAATTTGTAGACTGCACAACCTATCAAGAGTTGTGTTGTCTCCCAGATGCAAAGATCAAAGATGTGACACAAGGTTTACCCACATAATCAATCCCATTATAATCCTCTTTCATGTTAGAAAGAGTGCCTGAAAAACATATCAGGTGGCTATGAACAGCTAGGCAGGAAGGCAAAAGAGTTAGGAGTACAGATGGTGTTTCATCTATACTGCCAATGGAAGGTCAACATCCAATGAGGGAACAGAGAATTACCTAGAGGAAGGACTTTTGACAAGTGATTGATTGCACCTCACAAAGACTGGAAGAATGTGTTTGAGAAAGCTCAGGCTTGGCTTATCCATAGGTCTTTCAATTAAAACTGGAGGGGCAGGGAGACCAATTTTTAGGACCAAACCTAAAGCTCAAGTCCCAAGACAACAAATCAGACAATGTGGAAATGGGTGGTGAGAAGGAAGGGGCACTCAGGCATGTAACAGGAGATGCAGAAAGCAAACACTGGGTCAACCATAAAGGGCTCAGATGCCTGTACATTAATGCTCAAAGTATGGGGAACAAACAGGGAGAACCTGAGGTCCTAGTACCTGAGGACTGGTACGATATTGTTGCTATTACTGAAACTTGGTGCAATGGAACCCATGATTGGAACATTTTGCTTAGAAGGATATACATTGTTCAAAAGAAACAGAACCAATGCAAAAGAGAGGGGGAAGGAGTTGCACAGAATGTAAAGAACTACTATATCTCTACAGAAATACACAATACCAAGGATAAAGGCAGTTTGAAAGTATTTGGGGGAATATTAGGGGGAAAGGACATAACTACAGGCTGCCTAACCAGGTTCCCCAACATGTCTAGATGACAATTTTATCTCTCAAAAGATGGAAGGACCTAAAGGTCAACTATACTAGATTTAATTCTTACTAATAGGAACATAATGATTGAGGGAGTTGAAGTGGTAGGAACTCTGGGGGAGAATGACCACATCATACTAGAATTCACCATAATGCAAAGACAGTTAACTGAACAAAGTTAAACTAATGTTATCGACTTCAACAAACTAAGAGAGAGAATTGGAAGGATAGGAATCTTAAAGGGAAAAAAAGTACAAGATGCTTCGGATACTTTGAAAACAAGATAATAAAGGCCCAAACAAAAACAATACCACAGCAAAAGAAAAATAAGAGGCTCCAGACCAGGCTTGCAGGTTTGTACAAAGAGCTCTCTGACACACTGAGGAGCAAAAGTACCAGCAAATAGTCCAAATCAGGGGTGTCAAACTCAATTTCCTTGAGGGCCACATCAGGGTTGTGTTTGACCTCAGAGGGCCGGGGGCATGGCCAGGTGGGTGTGGTCATGGTGGGCATGGCCATGGTGGGCATAGCACAGGACTTGTGGAGGCACCTGTGGTGGCCAAGTGCTAAGGCAGGACTTCCCTGAGACCCTCCCTCACTCTCATTATACAGGAAATCCTCGAGTTACGAATGTAATAGAGCCTGCCAATTACATTCTTAACCTGAGGATTTGTTTGATTGAATCACATTAAATGAACATGATCACTCCCTGCTTTCCCCAATGCATTTGTTAATTGAATGCGCAGGTCATTAAATGCACATGAGGTATCTCAGAGTGGGGAAGAGCATGCAGGGCCTAATGCTGGAGCAGGCCATCCAAAGCCTCCCCCAATCCACTGAGATACCTCATACTCCCCTGGGGTCCCCACAATTGCTTCCCCACCCATCCTGCCCTGCCGTATCTCCACAGACTGGGCCTGCTTTGCTAGTCTCCCAGATTTCACTTACTCCTCCCCACCCCATTTTCCATGGAATACTTACTTTTTGAAGATATCCAGAGCTCCAGAAGAGACTGACCCACTGTAGAGAAGCCAAAGTGTTTTATTCATTTATTTATTTTATTTCGTCAAGCATGTATTTTATGACAGATACAAGTGTAAACTTAATTATAAATACATGAAAAGGATACAAATAAAAGAAAACATTAGGAC